CCCTGTCAGTTGTGGCAGGTGCTGTCTCCCTTGGGCACCCTGGCACAGACAGTGCCAGCTAAAACTTCGGGGTTGGAGTCAAGAGTGGAGAAGAAGAGAGGAGAAGGCTCTCCCTATCCTTGGAAGGGGAACATGAGTCAGAACCATCCCTGGGAGTCTCTAAGCACGAGCTCCAGAGCCTCTGTGGGCACTCCAGCTCTCAGACTCTGTGTCCATTCTGAATTTTATCCCATGCCTGGATTAGCTCATTGGGACTTGCCGTTGTGTGTCGCTGTGACCTCTGGCTTCTCCCTTCCTTCTGGACAGGAAACGGAGATATTTTGTCTTACGAAGATGCGAATCGAGCCATGCAGATGGGCGTTTCGGGCATTATGATTGCAAGGCAAGTGCCTGTGCTTCCCCTTTGCTCCTGAGCTCTGTGGGTGCAAGAGTGCCAAAGGAATTAATGAAAACCCTCAACAGGCCCAAAACACGAGAAGTTCCCTCTTGGTGAAGCTGCTCTTTGAAACTTGGTAAGATCAGTGTGGGTCTGTGAGCACTAACAGCAGCTCCCTGTTGGCACTGAGGGAAACAACAAGAGCAGCACGGGCTGGGAAGTGAGTGCTGGAACGTCTCTGCAGGTAGTTGGCATCTTCAGAAGCATCAGCCGTGGGAATGCCAACGCCCTTTTCTTTCTTGGCTGCAGAGGGGCGCTCATCAAACCGTGGCTCTTCACTGAGATTAAGGAGCAGAGGCACTGGGATATCTCCTCCGGCGAGAGACTTGAGATCCTCAGAGACTTCACCAAGTATGGCCTTGAGCACTGGGGGTCAGACACTCAGGGAGTGGAGAAGACCAGGAAGTTCCTGCTGGAGTGGCTCTCGTTCCTGTGCAGGTAACTCTCGCCAGCTGCAGGGGTCTGTCGGGCAGCCAGCCCGTGCCGTTTGAGCAACAGCACGCGCCGCCGTGACGTTCCGTTGCAGGTACATTCCAGTTGGCTTATTAGAACACCTGCCTCAGCAAATTAACCAACGGCCGCCGTACTACATTGGGAGAGACTATCTGGAGACGCTGATGGCAAGCCAGAACGTGGACGACTGGATTAAAATAAGGTACTAAAGCGTTGGATTTCATGGAAGCTGCTGGGAAGGGACATGGCAGAGCCCCACAGTCACCGTGCTTGCAGGCGTCCTCCGAAGAGGGGCGATGGCTCTCCCTCCGTTTCAGAGGTGGTAAGGAAGCAGCAAGGGTCAGCCAGGGCTTTTCTTTCAGGTTTTACCTGAGCTTGGAGTTGCCGTGAGAGCGCTCTCGATCCCTGCATCGGCCTCAGCGGGTCAGCCAGGGCTCGCTGCGAGGCGGGACTAGCTGAGCC